ATAAAGAGCTGGTTGTGTTTGCTATAATAGTTCAAAAAAGAAAAAAACATATTGAAAATTTCATTCAAATTACTTTATTCTGAGAGAAATAAACATAATGAAACGTCCAACTGTTCAGCTCCATCCTACTGATCTGCTCCAAACTGGGCTAATGAAGACGGGCATATGCCATATAATAATTCTTTTATCAATTGGATATTTCAAACATCAAGCGGGGAGGGGGGGGGGGCGAATGGTTAGAGCATGCACGTTGTATCATAAGGTCAACTGGCGTGGTTTTGATTGAACCATATGTTAATCCCAAAATGACCTAATTTGTGTCGAGTGGACGTTGAACCTCATATTGCACTTTTTATTTGTAATTTGTAATAAATCACAGATTTAGAGAGAGAAAAATGGGTTTAACACAAACTAGGTCATTTCGGGACTAACATATGGTTTAATTTTACTTCAATAATTGGCTTGCGCATAAGGGTATTAGCACTGAGAGGAAACCGGAGGACCCGGAGAAAATCCACGAGGTTGGAACAGGCGACCCTACTCCTTGTCACGTACAACTGGGGAATCAAAAACACGCCAATTGACTCAATGACAGACCTTATGACACAGAGCGCACATTCTAACCATTCGGCCATCCAACCCCCAAACCATTCAGCCATCCAACCCCCCAAATCACAGATTTAAGTTAAGGTCTTTAAATTCCTGTTTGTATAGGTTATTAGCATTTATCCAAGCATGTAGTATGAGATAGCTTCACTCATAGGTACCGACTGATTGACAAATAGTATTTATTAACCTCAGCACTCTATAAACAAAGTCTCAAAAGGAAAGAGAATAGTTTGATGTGATGAAATGAAATGAAATGAAATGGGGTTTAACGTCCTACTGTTCTGCTCCTAACCTGGGCTAATGAAGACGGGCATACGCCATACAGTGTGCTATGAGGGAAATTTTGCCTGGATAGCGGCACTACGGCCTACTCTTATATCGAATTCCAACTGCCAAGGGATCTTTTACGTGCACGCCAATGTGTACACGGGACCTCGGTTTTTCGTCCCATCCGAACGACTAGACAGCTTTCCTTGTCAGCCCCTCCGTCCTGCATCATTGATGTGATGAAATTATATTAAAATAGACAGGACAGTAAAATCGTTCACATTATCACTCCAGGGATGCCATGTCAAAGTTGACAACATACCGGTCATTGGAATTACCATACAGCATTTCTATACTGAAAGGAACATGTGTAGTAAATTCTTTGGAAATATAACTGACATGTTAAATAGTCAAACTTATTTTTTATATGAATATCCAAAGGTACGCTTTCAAATATTTATGGCATAGCTAATCATTTAAGGAATAGGGGGGGGGGGGGCATTTTTTAATCAGTTTGCTTGCAACTGGTCAATATGTGATGTCAAAATATGTGATCTGTCGAAGTACCGATGGAGAAATGAAATGTCTTGAATGAATGAATGGAGTTTGTGCTGACCGTAATTTAAAAGCTCTAATACTAATAATTTAGACCAGTGTCACAAAGTCATCCTGTATAAACATTTATCAAATGTGACCAATATTTCAATTTGTGTAACCAGGAAAGCGGTCGCATGATGATGATATTTTAGTACTAGTGCATTAGTTGCTAATTATAAATAATAATAATAATTATAAAGATGATGATGATATTTTAAGACTTATGCATTATATATAATTAGTTGTTGATTATTAATTATTAGTATTTTTTACAATCATTGTGTTATGTTAGTTACTCTGAACAAGCCTGGAAATACTGCATCAGTCACAAGAGTGAGAGAGAGAATGGGATTTAACGTCCACTCGACACAAACTAGGTCATTTTGGGACTAAAACATTGTTCAATTTTATTTCAATAATTCTGTTGCGCAGTGGAAGGAAACCAGAGGACCCTGAGAAAACCCATGAGGTTGAACAGGCGACCCTAACTCCTTGTCACGTACAACTGGGGAATCGAAACCACGCCAGTTGACTCAATGCTAACCATTCAGCCATCGAACCTCCGCACATAGTTCAAACAGTAAGATACAAGATTCATATAGTGCCTGACATTTTGTCAGGTGCAACTAGAATTATTATTTCCCGACTCGAGGAGTAATAACCATTTCAATAACGATAACGACCTCAAGGTATGCATTAAAGCCTCAGTAAATCAAGAAGCAAGCCACAGATTTCCGAACAGACCTGAAAGCAAAGTTGCAGAAACCAAGTTTGTTTCCATTTTGTATGTAAAAACAGAGTTAATTTGTTAGATGTAGCTGTGCAGGGAGAACAGTAAAGGCTGTTTTAAATGGATCAAATATTAATAATACGATTATTCTGTCTAGACTGGAAGAAATATATACATAAAAACATGGATTCTGTATCATCAGACGACGATAATTTTATTACATTTTTTTGTTCATCTGCTGGCAAAACCAGGCATATAAACAGCAAGTGCACATCGATGATTATTTATCAGTAGTTTTACGCCTTGAGGATGTATACTAGACTGGAACTGTACACAGCGTAAATGTTATTTTTATTAAACAGATACAATGTCCCTGGACTCACCACCTAAAGTTCATACTTGGTGTAATCCATTTCAACATGTATAGATAAATCATTGATTTGATTAAACAAATATAAACAAATATAAACAAAGGGAGCTGGGCATATAGTTTAATCAAACAAAACACTATTTATGGAAATGAATTGAAATGGAGTTTAACGTCCTACTGTTCTGCTCCTAACCTGGGCTAATGAAGACGGGCATACGCCATACAGTGTGCTATGAGGGAAATTTTGCCCGGACAGCGGCACTACGGCCTTCTCTTATATCGAATTCCAACTGCCAAGGGATCTTTTACGTGCACGCCAATGTGTACACGGGCGCCCACGGTTTTTCATCCCATCCGAATGACTAGACAGCTTTCCTTGTCAGCCCCTTCGTCCTGCATCACTGACAAGGGAGAACCACGCCGGAAAATCTGGATGAACTTTCTCGGCCAAAGCAGGGATTGAACACCCGACCTCCAGGCTAGCGAGCTAGCGTCTTACCCACTTAGCCACGTGATCCCCCCACTATTTATGGATAACAATTAATATTGTTTATTATCTTGCGATTTCACCAGTCATTATCAAGCGTAAGATTGAGAAATGTGATTTAATGCCCACTCAACACAAACTAGGTCATTTCGGGACCAACATATTCTATTTTAACAATTTGCTTGGGAGGAAACCGGAGGACATGGAGAAAACCCATTTCGGGACTAACACATGGTTCAATTTTATTTCAATAATTCGCTTGCATGTAGGGGTCTTTAGCAGTGGGAGGAAACTGGAGGACATGGAGAAAACCCACGAGGTTATACAGGCGACCCCCTACTCCTTGTCACGTACAACCGGGGAATTGAAACCACGCCAGTTGCCTCAATGACAGACCTTATGATACAGCACGCACTAACCATTCGGGCTCCCCCCCCCCATTTCCTTGTGAAATTCTTTTTTTTTTTTTTAATAGCCATAATTTTATTCAGATTTGTATCTGAATAGGCATTGCAGAACAGGCATAGCCTATATTAAACCCCTCTCCCTGAAATCTTGTTGAAAGAAAATGAAATGATGAAATCTTGTTGAAATGTCGCAGTGAAATAAACCATAGTAATTGTTATCCATAAATAGTGGGTTATTTCATTATTAACCAACCACTAAATGCCACTCAAAGAATATATTGGGCATGTAATTTGCGTCTAGTTTTTGAATGACAGCTTATTAATGATGAGAAATTGGATTATCAGCAACAACCAATCCTAGGTTGTACCTGGTTTTAATCATTTAAACCCTACACTACACTAAACTGATGGCAGTGAAATATTTATGGTGGTATTAACCCTTTAAAACCTACACTACCCTAAACTGCTGATTTCTCTTGCACCTCAAACGTCTGATGGTAGTGAACTATTTATGGTGGTCTGGGGGGAGGGGGATCCAGACGGCACTTGCTTGACAAATGAACTACAAAAATCAATGTATATAGTGTTCCATTTTCTCTATTTTACTACAAAATGAAATGGTAAATTGAATGAACTGATTAATGATGAGAAATTGGATTATCAGCAACAACCAATCCTAGGTTGTACCTGGTTTTAACCCTTTAAACCCTACACTACACTAAACTGATGGCAGTGAAATATTTATGGTGGTATTAACCCTTTAAAACCTACACTACCCTAAACTGCTGATTTCTCTTGCACCTCAAACGTCTGATGGTAGTGAACTATTTATGGTGGTCTGGGGGGAGGGGGATCCAGACGGCACTTGCTTGACAAATGAACTACAAAATTCAATGTATATAGTGTTCCATTTTCTCTATTTTACTACAAAATGAAATGGTAAATTGAATGAACTGATGATGAATGATGTTCAAGGAGAGAAAGAAAGAAATGGGGTTTAACTTCAACTCGACACAAACTAGGTCATTTTGAGACTAACATATTGTTAAATTTTATTTCAATAATTTGCTTGCGCGTAGGGGTCTTTAGCAGTGGGAGGAAACCGGAGGACCCGGAGAAAACCCACGAGGTTGGACAGGCGACCCTTGTGAGTTGACTCAATGACAGGCCTTATGATACAGCGCACACGTGCTAACCATTTGGTCATCCAACCCCCCGATGTTCAAAGAGCCAAATTAATTTTCTTTATTTAATAAATTACTTAGGTGAGTTGATTTTATTGAAGAACAAAGGGTCAATTTAGTGAGAGGGGAGGTGTGGTGGGTGCAGAGGTGATGGGAAAGGTGCAGAGTGGAGTGTAGCATGTACATATATGTGTGGTAAGTACAACCTACAATACCACGTTCTCCTTTGGATCTGACCCTGATGGGGTCTGTTGAGTAGGATGTATGTACACAAAGTAAAACCTACCACATTCTCCTTGAGAAAACGAGGAGGTCGGGGGGCCATGTATATATAGTAACTTAAACATACCACATTCTCCTCGAGACTTGATCCGGATCCTACGTTGTGTTGTACAGCTTGTTTTATGTAGTAGACATTCACTAGCATAGGTGACACCATTCGTACCACAAACAGGTGCAAATACTGGTTTACATTTCTGCTTACATTTACAATACGCTGTATTGTTCTTCTCATTCACCATGCAGACGGCACCAAAAGCGCAGAAATACGCTCGACAGGGAGCTGAAAAAATAAATATAAAAATTCAGGTCTATGAGATATCTCTTTTTTAAAACTGTGTACCATATAAAAATTCAGGTTTATAAGATAAGTCTTTAAAACTGTGTAGCACATTTCTCGTGCAGAAATCGGCAGCTGCAAAAATTAAATATCAAAATTCAGCTTTATGAGATAACTTTTTAAAACCTACATATAATTAAGTCAATAACTTTTTTGCAGCAGAAGTCGGGACTTCATCAACTTATGTCTAGATGAAGGTAAAATAGACGAGTTCTAGATTTAATATTTCTCAGACAGGCAGTCTACACTCTCGGGTGGCATCGTCTGCTGAAAAACGGCACTTGCAAATGCAAAGTCAAACCACATTTTTCTGCCTTTTCTCACCATCTAAAATTACGTACACTATTCCAAATACTCATTGGCGTCACACATGGGGGGTCCGCCCCCCCCCCCCAATTGTTTTTCTGGGGGGGGTCTGAATATACTTGGAACCCCCCCCCCCAAATTTACATAGTAGGCCCAAACTCCTATTTATTTACAACAATTATTAGGATTAGTTAAGGTTCTTTCTGTATAAAACCTGTACATATCCCAATATGGTTTACATTGCTAAAATAAAACACAGAGATAATCATCCTGGAAACATGTGTGAAGTTAAAAGTAACTGTGTTCCATAAAATTGTGTCTAGTTAGCCTGTCAGTAATATTTTGTTAATTTTTTTCTGCCACTTATCAGAGTGAATCGCATATAGGTACCCAAAAACATAACCGCCTAAACCAAATATTTATCGCCCGCTCAGCCAGCAACCTAACCATAATACTTTTGCACGTGGTGTCATGGTAGACAGCATGGCCACATGGTGTCTGTTTATATTTTTTAGGGGTTTTAAAAAATGGGTTAGGGTTAGGGGTTAGGGTTGCGGACCCCCCCAATATATATTTTTCACGGCTACGCCTTCGCAAATACTTGTCAATATTTGTAAATATAGCTTGTTTAATTTCTTCAATCAAAATATAATCACAAAGGCTAGAAAATCCAATCAAAGCAGAATTTTTCTTTCAAAACTTTCTGAGAGGAAAACATGTTTCCCACTAGTTTTCATCAATTCTATTTTTCAGTTTTAGTTCAATTAACCAATAATAAATATTCAACAGGATGTGGTAATTTTTTTTCTAATTCTCAAATCAATGGCCAACTGTAATTCTATTTTCTTCTAGTTTTAGTAACATTGATGTTATCACGATGTGCAAATAGCAAGACTTTATTGTCTAATCTTTATCGAACATTTTATAAAAACTGTTTCAAATGAAATGAAATGAGGTTTAACATCCAATGGTTCTGCACCATGAAGACAGACATACAGCAGCACTACACCCTACTCTTATTTCGAATTCCAACTGTCAAGGGATCTTTTACGTGCATGTCAATGTGTACACGTACACTGGTAGGGTGACCCACCATAAATAAATATCTCCATATATCTCGACAATTACTCCACAATATTTATATATATGCCAAGCCTCAAATCAGTTTCACACAATTATAGTCACTAAAAAAACGATCATGTTGTACTTAATAAGCTATGACCATTAATCATGTATAAATAATAGACTGAAAACTGGTTCCAAGAGTCGTCCATAACATCCAGACACTTTTGAGTAAAAGATAGGTTACGTGCCCTTGTTTTGAAATTAGTCTCGCTTAACCAGTCTATCGACCATTCTACGTCTGATTGACAGGTCGGGATAATCAAGACTACATTTTTACGAAACATAACAGAAAGTTAGAACAAGAAATTGAATTTAGAAATAAGCACGTTAGGTAGCTCAACAATCGTTTTAAGAAGCTTGTAAAAGTAAAATGAAACTACTGCTAGTATCATGCTCCTGTCTAACCCGAGTGATTCAGAGATATTATTTGTACTAAACCAAAAGATGCCGCTCTTAACGGTACAGTTAATGATAAAGCGATTTAAAAAATGAAACGAACGTAATTTCTAAATCTGCTGTAATAACCAAGAAGCTTAATTTTACTGCTATTCAAAATCGTCAACAATAATTTTTTTACGGCTGTAATAGTTGATAGATTTGTAGAGAATTGCACGTGCCATGGCTATTTATAGTATCATACTGTCAGAAAGTTGGTCTCGGCACGGCGAATGTGCACGCTTCAGTGGTAGTCTCGAACTATCAGCGGTGGACTGTATTTCTGTGAGTACAAGGGCCACCCTAACACTGGACCTCAGTTTTTCGTCCCTGGTTCAAAAGAACCAAAAACATAACTTAATAAAATAGTACAGTAACTAACTAAGACAGAACTCCATAGAGTTGAAAATCATGTGTCTTATACATCACTTCGACTTATCTATGTTAGTATGAATAAAAGATCAGAAAAATTAAAAAATACTACAAAACAACTACATTTTCATCGGAGTGCGTCATCAAAAGTCTGAGGATCTATGTTTTCTTTGTTTTTCACTATAAATAAACTAATTGTATAAGAGAGAGAGAGAGAGAGAGAGAGAGAGTTTAACATCCACTCAACACAAAATAGGTAATTTTGGGACTAACAAAAGATCCCATTTTAATTCAATCTTTAGCTGTGGGAGGACACTGGCTGGAGGACCAAGAGATATTGGATAGACAACCCTACTCCTTGCTACTACAATCTTGTGATTGAAACGGCGCCACTTCTCTTCGTTCTACTCTATAAATAAACAAACTCTATTTAGTATAAAGGTATGTGCAAACCAATTCCCGATCTGCCACACTTTATCCACGGTGATTACACCCTAATCCGACCAGCTCTTACAATATGAATATATATTGAATTACCGATACCCGTCACATTATCCTGCTGTCTTTCTAGTCTGTCCTATTGATATTCTATCTCCGAATGTCAACTTTCTCCTTGTTTTATTCCCTGCCGATCATACATTAGCTAAAAGGTCACTGATTTCACATACAATCGGGCGGGAAACAAGAACAGTTATCCTTCCTGCCCCCCCCGGCCCGACTTCCATCAATTATTTAAAGTTACAATTTCATATTTTTAAGTTATATTTTTTAAATGTATTAATATAAAGCCCTAAAATAGATGGTATCTATAAACAGTCCTACCTTGTTAAAGAATAATCCCATTAATCCTACAATTCACTATTGTCAGTTGAGAAATTGGCAAAAATATCATTTTCAACTTCAAATTCCAATGTTTGAAGATAGCTATTCCATGGTGGGGAAAAGAAAACAAGGGAGGTAATTCAGAGGTAATTGTGTTATTATTTCTGGTGTGAAGATTTTTAAGTGTGAGAAAGATCGTATAATAGTGAGTTGACAACCTATTGAGCAAAAGACATAAAAATAATTATGTATTGACTTTCTTAGAAAATATGATATTGTAACTTTAAACATACATTATACAAGAGCTAAATCTGCCTATTACAAGTCTTTCTTTAGACCTGAAATGTTATAGAAACTATTAAATAGACATTAATTAACTTATCCAAACCATAAACGACACTCGATGTCATCTTATATGTGTGATTTTCACTGGATTTGAATCTGATCTTCAGTTCAATGCTCATTGATGATTAAATCCAAAAATGGATAATCAAGACTATGTTTTTTATCATGGGCTTAAAATTCAAAAGCTAATATCTCAGTTCAGCAATTTAACTGAAATTTTCAACAAATTCTATTTACGTTATCTATTTCTTAACTATTACAGCGAGAACAGTCAACTCTTTATCTAATCTCCCATAATGTATCTTTAATATCAATATAATTACAACTGTTTTAAAAGGAAAAACCCTTCAGACCCTAAATTCTAATAAACTGGCATTGCCAGGTAGACGATATACCACCACCAGCCAGTTTGATAATGGTGGTTTTATGAAAAATAAGGATTCATTATGGCCCTGATTTCACAAAGCATTCTCAGACTTTATTTAGGAATTTACTCAACTTTCAATCACTGTTTATGAGAAATATCTTTTATCCAGAAACACAAAACATTGCACCTAGTTTCTTATTGATGTATTTGATACATTAAAACAACAAAAGGTTTATAAAGGGCTATATTTTAGTTAAAATAAGACGAAAAATTTTGGGAAAATTCTTAACTTAAGTCTGAGAATGCTTTATGAACTGGAGCCAGAGAGAGTGAAATGGGGTTTAACTTCCACTCAACACAAACTTGATCATTTCAGGACTAACATGGTTCAATTTTGTAACAATAATTCCTTGCGTTGGGGTCTTTTAGCAGTGAGAGGAAACCGGAGGACCCGGAGAAAATCAAGATGCTGAACAGGCGACCTGACTCCTTGTCACGTACATCCGGAGAATCAAAACCACGCCAGTTGACTCAATGAGAGAGCTTATGACACAACTCACACATGCTAACCTTTCAGCCATCCAACTCCCCTGCGTATCATTGAACTCAGCCAACATAAAGAGGTGTACGTGCCCCCTGAAAAACTACGTTTTAAGAATAAAGTTGTGCCCTGATTTTTGTTATTCTATTCATCAGGTGTGGCAGAAATCACCATTCAAAACACAAATTTTTCCAAATTTTCCTGTTGAATGGGGGTGTGTGTGTGCCCCACTCCCATCAGACCTGCCCCCACCTCAAAATAATCCTGGCAAAGGGCCTCTAAACAGCAAATCTGAACATTCTACTTTGATAAGAATCAGAGTAATCGTATCCTACACAAAAATTGTTACAGACAGACAGGCGAACCTATTAAATAATATCCTGCATTCTTCAATAGACGCGGGACAGTAAAATTGTTACAGACAAACGAACGAACCTATTCTTCAATAGACGCGGGACAGTAAACTTGAGCACGTTGATTAAACAATGGTTGTTATTAAATATTAAATAACAGACTAATATCATATTTAATACATCATTCAATATTAACCTAGACTGTCTAAATTACAATCAATCCTCTATATTATCATATAAAGTACAGCTTAAGCAACTGGATAGTTCTCAATTGAAA